ATCCAAACACTATTTATCCAAATACAGCATCAGATCCCACAGATTAAGGGCTGCGTCCCACAAAACCGCCCTCTTCTTCCCACCAGGAACAAGTCTGGGCCTCCAGATCTTCCGACCAAATGGCTCTGGGTTGGGGTTGCCGTGACCCCTTCTTTGGGCTCAATTAATTTGCTAGAGTGGCTCACAGACTCAGGGAAAAACGTTTAGTGGCTTATAATAAAGGATATTGCAAAGGACACAAATGAAGAGGTGCATAGAGCGAGGTATGGGGGAAGGACTGGGGAGCCTTGCATGCACCCCCTAGCTGCGCCACCCTCCAGGAGCCTCCGCGTGTTCAGCTGCAAGCAAACTCTCTGAACCCAATCCTTTTGGGTTTTTATGCAAGCTTCATTACATAATCACAATTGACAACCATGTAGAAATGTGACTGGACAAAAAGGGTATGATCCGTACTATCAGCCTGAGAGGTGAAACCCAGTAAAGCTCGTCTGTTCAGGTTTGCCTTGACACCTCTCTGTAGCATTCCTTCCTCTAGGGTATGGGGTGGGACCCTCTCTGGAATGAGGATCTTTTGAGCCACAATCAGATTAGAGTCCTGCCTTAGGCAGGTGAAGGGAGGGCAGGGGAAGGTCAGAGAGGGAGATTCTGTTTCATGAGGCCTGCTCCTGAGGCCTAAATCCCCCACCATGTTATTTTTAAAAAAAGAATATAACAAAGGATTGGGAGTTAAAAACCAGGAACTACAATATCACAAGTTGTTAATGTTACAAGAATACATAAGTTTGCATAGGGCTTAATCAAACTATTTTTTCATTGTGAATGTAGCCTGTAAACATTATGGGGCCCGCCCAGCTGCTCCCATTTACAGCTTCCTCTCTCTCCAGGTGGAGGGAGCAGGCGATAGCTCAGTCCGAAGGCTCTTATTCAACTCCGCGCTTGTGATTCCCGGGGCTTGACTGGCAAAGATCCCCTGTTCTGTGTATTGCTGAGGCTTTGGGGGAAGCACTGTATCTGGACTGGAGTGCCAGAGGGGAGCCTCTGACTTGCTGGTCAGATGCACTTTCTGGGTGAAGCAGCACCCCACCCTTTCTTGGTCTGCCCTGAATGGGCTTTGCTCACCATCAGACTGGCAACGGGTCATCAGACCCGTTGAAATGCACCTGGTACCTCGGTTGGAGCTAGGAGATCCCTGGATTTCTGCGTCTCTCTTGCTGGGTGTGCCGTGTTGTGCGCTGGAATTGTGTCTAATCCGCCGTCTTGGATCTCTCCCACCTGTTAACATTATTATATGGCTTGAACTTGCTCTCAGGAAAGAAAAAACTGTTTTGCTTACCAGTGAGTTATACTTTGCTGTATCAGAAATATTAATTAAAGCCATACGAGTAACTTCACTCTCCGTAGAAAGATTTTAGATGAGGAAGATACAGATGTGAGAGCCGAGACTAGCAGAGTGCATCATTTATGTCAATGATAAACAAAGTAAGTGTGGCTGGGGAAGGGAAAAGAGACAAAAGGTAAAAAATAATAATAATAAAAAGCGGGCCGGGCGCGGTGGCTCACGCCTATAATCCCAGCACTTTGGGAGGCCCAGGAGGGTGGATCACGAGGTCAAGAGATCGAGACCATCCTGGTCAACAAGGTGAAACCTCGTCTCTACTAAAAATACAAAAATTAGCTGGGCATGATGGTGCGTGCCTATAGTCCCAGCTACTCGGGAGACTGAGGCAGGAGAATTGCTTGAACCCAGGAGGCGGAGGTTGCGGTGAGCTGAGATCGTGCCATTGCACTCCAGTCTGGGCAACAACAGCGAAACTCCGTCTCAAAAAATAATAATAATAAAAATAATAAAAAGCGAACTGTATTAAAATGTGGGGGGGCAAAATAACTCCAAGAAGCACAGGCTTAGGAAGAGCTGAGAAATGACCATGAGATTTCACTTTTTTCTTCCTTTCTTTTTTCATTTAGACAAGGTCTCACTCTGTTGCCCAGGCTGGAGTGCAGTGGTACAATCTTGGCTCACTGCAGCCTCTACCTCCTGGGCTCAAGTGATCCTCCCACCCCAGCCTCCTGAGTAGCTGGGATCACAAGCGCATACCACCACACTCGGCTAATTTGTTGCTGTTGTTGTCGTCTGTAGAGTCAAGGTTTCAACATGTTGTCCAGGCTGGTCTCAAACTCCTTGGCTCAAGCCGTCTGCCCACGTTGGCCTTCCAAAGTGCTGAGATTACAGGTGTGAGTCATTGTGGCCTGGCCTGAGATTTGAGTTTAAAGTTCCTTTTAATAAAGAGAGGAGGCAGGAGTCAGCTTACATAGAAACGCATGAGGTGAGAGGTGCTGAGGAAGCTGGAGCTATCAGCGTGCATAACACAGGCTCCAGACGACTGGCTAGGAAAGAGAAGAAAGAAGTCCAGAAGGAGCCAATGTGAGGTGATAGAGGGGGACGATGCCCACCTCCTGCACACAGAGGAATTGGGGGCACAAACCTAAGATCTGAGTGTGATAGCCCCTGAAGAGAGAATCCAGGAAAGATGGAAGGGAGAAAGCAAGTGCATTTTCTGCTGCCCAGAATATCTCTGACTTCCTGATAATGGACTGAATTATAGTAGGTGGAAATAAACACCTAGGAAAAGTCCAGAAATGCCGCTGTCATGCATTCTGTGGGTATTAGAGGTATCTCCTACCTAACCCAGAGAACCCACCTGCTCTTCAGTGTGTCTCTTTCCAGAGTTAATCAGTGACCAAACAGAAAAATGACAGAGAGCCAGGACAGTGGGCCAAAGGTAAATGGAGAAAAGGCGACACAGTGGCCCTGTCTAGGAAGCTCCCAGCATGGCACGGCCTGCAATAAACCCCTGACAACTGAGAGGGGCTCAACCAAGATTGGCTAGATTTTAGAACAGAATAATTTCAGAAGGAAATGAGATGTGATCTGAACGACATAATTTATTTAATTTTACTTATTTTTTTGAGAGGGAGTTTTGCTCTTCTTGCCTAGGCTGGAATGCAGTGGTGCAGTCTCAGCTCACTGCAACCTCTGCCTCTCGGGTTCAGGTGATTCTCCTGTCCCAGCCTCCCAAGTAGCTGGGATTATAAGCACCCGCCACCGCGCCCAGCTGATTTTTCTATTTTTAGTAGAGACAGGGTTGCACCATGTTGGCCAGGCTGGTCTCGATCTCCTGACTTCAGGTGATCCACCTGCCTCAGCCTCCCAAAGTGCTGGGGTTAGAGGTGTGGTCACCCGACCAACATAATTTATTATTTTTGTAAATTTCTGTTTTGGCCAGGTGAGTTTGCTCACGCCTCTAATTCCAGAACTTTGGGATGCCAAGGCGAGTAGATCACTTGAGGTCAGGAGTTCGAGACCAGCCTAGACAACATGGTGAAAGCCTGTCCCTACCAAAAATATAAAAAATTATCTGGGTGTGGTGGTGCAGGCCTGTAGCCCCAGCTACTGGGGAGGCTGAGGCAGGAGAACCACTTGAACCCAGGAGGCAGAGGTTGCAGTGAGCCAAGATCATGCCACTGCACTCCAGCCTGGGCAACAGAGTGAGAGTCCATCTTTAAAAAAAAAAAAATCCATTTTAAGTATCGGATTTCCATACAAATAGAATGCAAGAGTCAAATAAGTTATGACTAAAGAGACAATACAACCATTTTAATTAGCTGAAAAGTTGTTCCTAGATACTTCAAAAGATGTCCTTCTTCTTTTTTTTCAAAGCGAGCAAAAGTTTTATTGGGGAAGTACAAGTACATTCCAAGAGAGAGGAGTGGGCTGACCCTGCTGGAAACATGCTGAAGACATTGTACCTTGTGATCTTCTATTGCCTTCGTTCTTTCTTTACCCAGTTCTCACCAAACTTTGGGGGATCCTCCCTTACAGTGTTTAATGCACATGCATGGGAACCAGTGATCAATACGAATCCTATCTAATGGTGGCACTGCTTCTTACCACCACCCGGGGAAGGTATAGCCGTCAATTTTGTGCTAATTGTGTCTGATCAGCTCTCAGGAATTCCCCTTTTGCCTCTTTCCTTCCTTATCAGGATCTAGTTAACAGCATTCTGACAGTTCAACCATGAAGTGAGTACTGGGCATCCTAAGAGGTGTTCTGGGGGGTTCTTTCCAACATGAATACCTCCCCTTCATGTCTGCTCATATCTGACTGTCTACTCTTACATTTCTCCCTCCAGGAGTTGGGACCCAGAAAAACGTGTCCTTATTCTTTAACTTCCTATATCTTAATTGACTAGAATCTAATATCCTTTGCATATTCAAAGTTCATCCTATGTATTTACAAATGAAGTGTATTAGTCAGTGTTCTCCAGAGAAACAGAACCAATAGGAGAGAGAGAGAGAGAGAGAGATTTATAATAAGGTATTGGCTCAGACAGTTATGAAAGCTGGTCTGCCATTTGCAAGCTGGAGATGCACGAATGCCAAGAGTGTCATTGGAAGGCCTGAGAGGGGAAGAGTTGATGGTGTTGCTTCCCGTGCAGGCTTGAAGGCCTGGGAACCAGGAGCCCATGAAGGCAGGGGAAGAGCTCTGTCCAGCTCAAGTAGTCTGACAGAAAATGAATTCAAACCTCCTCCTTCTTGTTTTTCGCTGCAGGCCATCAAGGGACTGGACGAAGCCCATCCACATTGGGGAGGACCATCTGCTTTACTTAGTCCCCCAAATCAAATGCTATTCTCTTCCTTAAAGCACCCTCACAGATGCACCCAGAAACAATGGTTAACCAGCTATCTGGGCATCTCATGACCCAGTCAAATCAACACATAAAATTAACCATCATATGATGTCAACAACACTTGCCTACATTAGTGTAGTTACTGCAAAAGGATTTTTCTAGGCAGTCCTCCTATTTAAATATATGTTCCACTATACATATGCATACATATATATATAGTTAAACTTACATACCTGGAGGATGAACGCAGCTCCCGCAAATGAAGCTGTGCTATACCAAATATGTAAAATGTAAAATTTGCACACACACTCATTGCTTTTTAAATCTGCTTAAGTTTATTATATTTGTTTCCATAAGTTTATGACATCTCTTCTAAACAGACACTAACAGGTCTCTTTTTTCTTCCTTTCTTAGCCAGGCTAATCCTGAAAGGGCCCTGCTAAAGGAGATCACTGTAACTTCCCAGGTCCCTGTCCTAAGCGTGGAGGGTCCTTCTCAAAGACTCTGCCATACAGCGCCATGACTAAGACAGGCAAAGGGGCTCCACTTCGGCTCCTCAGGCGTCCATCTCTTGAAATCTGGTCAAAGAAAGCAAAGGATTAACTTCAATGCAGAGTTCAGGTTACAACCTAGAGCCCTTCTCTGGCAAGATCACTCCTAAAGCAGTGTAGAATGGAAAAAATCACGCAGGATTTGGTGTTGGAAGACCCAGGTTCATGTTTCAAGTCTAAAAGTAGAGAGACTTTGCGTGAAAATGCAGCAAACAAATTTCTTGCACAGGCGGTCAAGTAAGACCATGTATAAAAAAGTGTTCTTCAAACCCATGAAACACTATACAAAGTATTAGTTATTACTATAATTATAATAACTTCTCAAAGTAGCATACCCAGGAAATAAGCTGTAGATGCATTATTTAATGTATTTAATTTGCACCTTCTACACCATGCAAATGACAACATTATTGCCATTATCAGCAACCGATATTTTTATTTTAGTTTCTCTGTGAATTCACTGTTGCCTTGAATATCAGCATCACATTTATGTTAAAAAAAATGAACCCCAAATTCTTCATCCAGCTTAATGGCAGTCTAAAACCACAACTTGAGCTGGGCACAGTGGCTCATGCCTGTAATCCCAACACGTTGGAGGCTGAGGTGGGTGGATCACCTGAGGTCGGGAGTTCGAGATCAGCCTGACTCACATGGTGAAACCTATCTTAACTAAGAATACAAAATTGGCTATGCATGGTGGTGCATGCCTGAAATCCCAGCTACTGGGGTGGCTGAGTCAGGAGAATCACTTGAACCCAGGAGGCAGAGAGTGCAGAGAGCTGAGATCATGCCATTGCAATCCAGCCTGGGAAACAAGAGCAAAACTCTTTCTCAAAAAAATAAAAAAATAAAAATAAAACCACAACTTGTGTTCCATATCATAGTTTCCACATCTTTAAAGTGTTTCTTGTAGAATGTGAACAACGATATTGCTATACTCTGATTATTTCAAAGATTTTCATTATGCTGCTCTACCCGTCTGCTCTGCTCAAAGGAATTTATCATCCTGCACACCTCCTACCTCATAATGTCTTTCAGGGGCAAGCTGACTTCCACTTAGAGTGATCTGTGGGAAAACATAACACGTTCTGAATGTGCCACTGAGGGAGAATTCTTCAAACTTGGTAAAAGCTGAACCCACAGGCTCTCCACATGTTTCGAGGTCGGTGGTTTGACACTTCAGTAATGTGCATATCTATGAAAGAACGGAAAAGGAGTCAGAAAACTTGCAAATATTTTCTCAGCTAAATAATGCAACTTCAAAGAATAAAGGAATATTTAAATTGCCTCATAAGAAGTATTTTTCACACCATAGGTAACAACTTATTAGTGAATCGTAAAATCAATTTAGTGGATCAGGATTAACACTTTTTTAAATGAAGTCAGATAGAATAGACTAGAATTTTAAAAATCAGAGTGCATGGCACATAATAATAGCTATTTTTCATTCCATTTTAAATTATTTCATAAACTGTTTCAATTAAATTTTTTAAAATTCAGTCACATATCCACTTGGCTACACTGGGTTATGGTGTAAAGTATCCTTCTTCCTCTGGATTTAGTTGAGGTCAATTTGAAAAAAGCACTGCTCTAACGTAACCTGATGGAAAAAGAGAGTGCACAGAAGTTGCACCTTTTGAAAACTGAACCTGGCCTGCTGAGAACTAATCAATTTGCTTTATGTTTTTGCCTTGCAACTGAAAGCACTAATTCTGTTCTTGCTGAGACTGAATAAATAAAGTGCTCTGCGGACAAAATTTGGTGATAGAGTTAACATTACACCAGTTAGCTAAATCCAGCCAAACTTTCAAAGAAAAGCAATGATGACCTAGAAGAAAAACTAATAATAAGGCCACTCTAACATATTTAAGCATTTCTACCTGTAAGTAATATTGGCCTTCTACCGTGTGCAGTCCATCAAAAGCACCTAGGGCATAGACTTCATCTGTTCGCTTCTCAGACATCTTGTAAGTTAAGTGACAGCACAGGTCTTTCTGGCAAACTGTGTAATTTCCTGTATTTCTCTTAAACTCAGTGAAGGTAAACTCATCAAAATAAATCATCCCTGGAAAATCTGACTGCTCAGAGGAGAAAGGCTTGACACTGCTGGCATAAGCATGCCAGTCAACAGTTGCAGGGTAGGTGGGCTCACGGCGAGGCCGAGACTTCAATTCTGATAGCATCAGCTGACCACTCTCTGTTTCCATGTCGTAGTGGTACCCCTTGACTGCTTCTGGGGCGTAAAGTCCACTCCCTACAGGCAACATAAAGAAACACAAACATTGGTTTCAGATTTGTTATGGTGACCAACTAGTAGAATATTCCCGTGTGAAGTTAAACACAAAGTTATTAAAGCATATTTTCAAGACAGTTAAGGAGACAGCTGTTATATTGGTGTAAGTTCCAATTTGACTCTGTGTCCTCCATAAGGTACTACTTGCACTGACATTATCATTTGACATGGAGGTGCATAGTTTTAAGCTAACTTAGCAACAAACTAGAAAATCCTCCCAACATGAAGAATAATTTTAGCTCTCCACTGATGGTTTAATTTCTTTGTGTTTGGGGTTTGTTATTCAACAGATGACACAGTAGTTAAGAAGGAAGCTTGCATTACTTTGGACATGGATATTACAAAGGATAAACGCTAAAAACCTGATTAAGTCAAAAGTGATTTTTATCACTTCAGCTTTTTTTATGCTTGAAATATTTTTATTTATTTGTATTTTTTTCTTCCAACTTTTATTGTAGGTTTAGAAGGGGAACATGTGAAGGTTTGTTACATGGGTAAATTGTAGGTTGCTGGGGTTTGATGTGCAAATGATTTTTTCACCCGAGCAGTGAGCACAGTATCCAACGGGTAGTTTTTCAGTCATCACCCCCTCCCACCCTCCACTCTCAAGTAAGCCCTGTTGTCTACTGTGCCTCTCTTTGTGTCCATGTGTACTCAATGTTTAACTTCAACTTGTAAGTGGGAACATCTGGTATTTCATTTTCTGTTCCTGTGATAATCACTGAGGATAATGACCTCCAGTTGCATCCATGTTTTGCAAAGGACATTATTTCATTCTTTCTTATGGCTATATTCCATGGTAGTATTCCATGGTGTATATGTATCACATTTTCTTTATCCATTTCACTGTTGGTGAGCACCTGGGTTGATTCCATGCCTTTGCTATTGTGAAAAGTGCTGCAATTAACATACAAGTGAATGTGGCTTCATGGTAGAATGATTTATATTCCCTCAGGTATATACCTATTAATGGGATGGCTGGGTCAAATGGCAGTTCTGTTTTAAGTTCTCTGAGAAATCTCCAAACTGTTTTCCACTGTGGCTGAACTAATTTACATTTTCACCAGCAGTGTATAAGCATTCCCTTTTCTTCATAACCTCACCAGCATCGGTTTGTATGTTTTTTAAATTTTTTAATCATACCCATTCTGACTGGTGTGAGGTGGTATCTCATTGTGGCTTTGATTTGCATTTCTCTAATGATCAGTGATGTTGAGCATTTTTACATGCTTGTTGGCCACATGTATGTCGTCTTTTGAGAAGTGTCTGTTCATGTCCTTTGTTCATTTTTTAATGGGATACTTTGTTTTTGTTTGTTGATTTAAGTTCCTTATGGATTCTGGATATTAGACTTTTATGAGATGCACAGTTTGTGAATATTTTCTTCTGCTCCCTAGGCTATCTGTTTACTCTGAACCACAAGATTTATTTTTGACATTACTCATGCATATTGGCTAGGAAGTTCCTTAGAACTGGCTTTGATTTTTTTATATGACTTCTCTCCAACTCCAATTTTCTTTCAAGTAAAATTGAGATAATAATGTTTGCCTCCTTTATTCACAGGGATGATATTCCTTAAGTAGAAACAAATACTATTATTAACTTTGTGATGTTAAAATTGGTAATAAAGTTATTAAACAAAAATGTGGCTTGAAAATCAAGACGCCTTCCTAAGACCGTCGCTCCCACTTGGTGCACACCGGCGTGAGTTACCTGTCATGTGCATGCTGGTGTTGTGGGTATTTGCAGCAAGCAGATTGACTCCCATGGCCTTGGCCCATGCTGAATGGAAGGGAACAGCCGAGAGGAGGGGCAGCGTATTGTACCATGCTGTGGGGTAGACAATGCTGTCAACTTGAAACTCATCCACCACCACCACAGCTGGGTCATAAGAAAAAATGTCAAAGCAAGTAAAAATGCCAAACTTCCCAAAGGGAGTGTCAAAAGTCACAAATTCTGAATTCTTGGGGAAATCAAATTGAATTTCAGGTGCAAAAAGATTGTACTGTTAACAAAAAGCAAAGAAGAAAATTAATAAAAAACTGCCAGATAGATGTGATCAGTTAAGTCCCCATTAAATCTTTCCTCCCATGTATGTTGACATGCATGTTTAAAACTGTTACACATAGGCCAGGTGCAGTGGCTTACATCTGTAATCCCAGTACTTTAGGAGGCTGAGGCAAGTGGATCACTTAAGGTCAGGAGTTCGAGACCAGACTGGCCAACATGGTGAAACCCTGTCTCTACTAAAAATACCTGGACGTGGTGGTAGGCACCTGTAATCCCAGCTACTCAGCTGGCTGAGGCAGGAGAATTGCTTGAACCTGGGAGGCAGAGGTTGCAATTAGCCAAGATCACACCACTGCACTCCAGCCTGGGCAACAGAGTGAGATTCCATCTCCAAAAACAACAACAAAAGTAACAAGAACAAAATAAATTGTTACACATAAAGTTGCAAAAATCATGCCCACTCTACCACTGTCTATCAATTTTCTTATGGTAACATTAATCAAAAAACTTCATTTTATTTTTTTACAACCAATGAGTGAAACCACATCCACAAATGATATTTAAAGTGTGAATATTTCTGTCTTAAAATCACAGGTTGAAATCTTGAATCCTACACTTCTCAGATTGTTTTCCACTGTATTCTTTAAATTTCAACAGCACTACCATGTTAATAAAATAAACTTTGTCATGTCTCCCAGTGATACTGCCAGGTTTATAGAAGTGAAGTCCATTGAAAATTAATTTAGACAATGCAATTGCTACATATTATTCATTAGTAACCCATTTGTAATTTTATTTTTTTCAGCTTGATTCTTTTTTTAAAACACCGCTTCACCTAGGCTCAGGAGTACAGCATATGTTTTGCTTGGGTTTTTGTTTGGCCTGTTGTGTGCCTGCGTGTGCTCTGGCGAAAGCTACTCCCCACCCCTGCGTGTGCTCTGGCGAAAGCTACTCCCCACCCCTGTGGTCCCTGGAGGTCTCTTGCCACTCCATTCTCCTCTCCTGTGGCAGCCCATCCTTCATCCTTTGGTGAATGGCTCAGGAAAGGCAAGTCACCTAATTGAATTAAGAAGTGATAAGGCCTTTGCAGAGTTCTAGGAGGGAGAAATACACTCTTCCTGTAGATTTTGTTGATAAAGATGTGAACTTCGTGTTGCTCCACCTATGTGGCCTCTAAAAGGCGAGCTCCCCTGAGAAAAAAGCTGTAACAAGGGGCTAGGAGAGCTAGAGGGATGGATGATAACTTTGGAGCCTCTGAGTGTCAGACTCCACTGAAATGAGACATACCCTTTCTATGATACACAATTTTACATGTGTGTAAGCAAGGAAATTCCCATCTTTTTAAAGCCATCTTCAGTTGAGGTTGTGTTTCCATTGCAATCAAAACAATTCTAATAGAATATATGGTCACTTAATATGAAGTGCTAACAAATTGGGCTAAAACATGAACCTGATATTAAATCATGAATGAAACAGAATTTTTACTTCTTTTTCAGAGAACATTAAAATCTTTGTGTCGTTATTGTCACATCCATTTAGATATTCTACCATAAATTCAGTTTTATGATTAATTCAAGCCCAGAACCCTTATATGGAACTGAATTAAGTCCCCTTTTCAACTATGATGTAATAATTATAAGATGCATCTGTAACAGTTCCCTCCCCAGCATTCAACAAACACACACACATACAAGCACAAGCACACAGAAGTAACAAGTTGAGCTAAGTCACAAGCGATTCTCACCTTATGGTAGCGTGCCACCAATTTTCCCTGAGAATCAAACACCACATCAGTGTTGTATTGGTAACGGCCATCGGGGGGACACTGAGGGTCACTGGCATTGCATGGCTTCTTGTCCCCAATATTAGCCACGACATAGATAGAGTTGTCCTTGGCCAGGCAGCTGAGCCTTTCTTGCACTGGTGTGTTGCCGAATCTAATTAAATAGACATTTCCTCAAACTTACTATATTTTAGTAATTTTTGAAATACCAAAGTGGTACTTTATTTGCCTATTACCCATAACACAACAACCCTAGAATCAACAAAAAATTTTCAGCAGAAAATATTTTAAAACTCTCATGTGAGATATGGTATTTATCTTCCTGAAAGCTAACCTATATTACTATACCAAACTCCAGATTACAGTACAAGACTGAAGGAAAGAAAAGATGGAAGAAGAAGAGGAGGATGAAAAGAAGCAGCACATTCTCTTATGAGGTGCTCCCAGGAAGGTAAATGAGGTGCTTGAAATTTAGCAGACTCCGCTTTTGTTGTTGTTGTTTACATATTTTTATTTGGAAATGTTTGTATCAGTACAAAGAAACAATTTTGGAGACACTAAGTGTCATCAGTTATCATTAGTTTATTATAAAAGAGATATGGAAATTATTTACATAATGAAAGATTTCAGAACTTCAGTGGAATGGGCAGCTTCACATTGATGCCATTTCAATAGTGACTTATTTCGGTCTACGTACTTTCCAAGAATGTCACCATCTCTAAATAAGAGATAGTCCTTGTCATCTAGAACTACTTTGGTGCCTCCATATTCTGGGAGAAGAACTTTATCTCCAACCTTCACATTAACTGGTTGAACCTCTCCACCCTTTCCTTTAGAACCCGATCCAACAGCGACTACTGTTGCTTGCAATCGTTCTCCTTGAGATTTCTCTGGAAGCATACTGCCTCCTTTGGTTACAGTTTCAGCAGCACTCCTTTCAACCAATACTCGGTCAAAGAGTGGGAGAAACTTTGTAAACGCCTGTCCTGCCATGACTCCCTCAGCCTCAGACTCGTACTCTGCTCTGGCGCACCACGGCAAGGAGAGACCCGCGATGCGGCCCTCGGCACGTGAAAAGGCCGCCCAGCGCGCAGGCGCGCTCGCCCCAGCCCCCTCCCCAGACTCTGCTGCTGGAGAGGACCGCGTTTATAATTCAAGCCATTGTTTGTACAAGCTTGCTGATATGAGTTGTGGCTGGAAACAGAAATGCCAGGTGACAGTAAATAGTTTGTTCGCTGCAGATTGTCCTCTATAGAAAGTAAATACAGCATTAAGTAGTGGAAACGTTAAAGATTAAAATAAAAAATAAAAAGCACTTCACCGTGCTGTTTCCTCATCTGTCAAATGCAATGTAATAGCTTCCTTTCTGACTTAGTAGATCCACGTGAGAAATCCTGAGATAAGTACAGACATGAAATTGCTTTATCAAGTAATACCAAGTCCATCCATATTAAAGATATTTATCCCTGGCTGAGCGCGGTGGCTCATGCCTGTAATCCCAGCACTTTGGGAGGCCAAGGCGGGTGGATCACCTGAGGTCAGGAGTTCAAGACCAGCCTGATCAACATGGAGAAACCCCATCTCCACTAAAAATACAAAGTTAGCTGGGCATGGGGGCGCATGCCTGTAATCCCAGCTACTCAGGAGGCTGAGGCAGGAGAATAGTTTGAACCCGGGAGGTGGAGGTTGCAGTGAGCTGAGATCTCGCCTTTGCACTCCAGCCTGGGCAACAAGAGCAAAACTCTGTCTCCAAAAAAATAAAAAGATATTTATTCTTGATGTAAGAAGGGAATGTGGCAAGGTGATAGCTGGCTTCAAATATTTGAAAGGCTTAATTTATTGGAGATGGGTCACATGTGAACATAACATAGAGTACAGGAAAACAATGAACGGAAGTCAAAGAGAGGCAGATTTCAGCAGAAAATAAGACAAAAACAGTTTAGTAACGAACTCACTCTGTCAAATAAGTGTATTTGCTAGTCACTAAAAATGTTATTATAATATGGTACATCTCGGCCCTCAGAGTCCATTCAGTTAGCACAGCTTAAAGGACATGGCTGTTTTAATTCCAGCCAATCTAGTGACCAATTATGAGACCATAAGCCTTCCTTTTTTCACATTATTTATAATGCAAATTGTAATGCCAACTACATAAATTGAATGAGAAAATGTGTATAGTATACTAGGTACAGTTCTTGGGATCAAGTAAGTGCTCCATAAATGAGAATTGCTATTATGGATTGTGTGATTGCAAGAAGGCATCCCCAGTCGTGATGGCTTTATTGCTTTTAGAGGCCATTCCATGTCCTCTAAAAGCCCCTCTGCAATTGATGTTAAGCTAATCTTTGAATAAAAAGGACAGATTAATGACCTACTGATTTAGATCTTTTCTTTTTATTTTCTTAAAAAAAAAGAGAAATGCTGTTAATATTCACATTCATTAAGACCTTTAATAAGTTTGTCATGTCATTTGTTTAATTTTTCTTTTCTTAACTAAATAATTTGAGTTATTTAATATTTCCTACTAGTTCCTCAAAAAAAAAAAAAAAAAAAAGCCCGTGGAACTGTTTGACATGCTGTTTGACATGTCAGCATTCTAAATAGTACTATCTTTTTTTTTTTTTTTTTTTTTTTTCAGACAGAGTCTCACTCTGTCGCCCAGGCTGGAGTGCAATGGCGTGCTCTCACTCACCGCAACCTCAGCCTCCCGGGTTCAAGCAATTCTCCTACCTCAGTCTCCTGAGTAGCTGGGACTACAGGCGCAAGGCACCATGCCCAGCTGATTTTTGTATTTTTAGTAGAGACAGGGTTTCCTCATGTTGGTCAGGCTGGTCTCGAACTCCTGACCTCGTGGTCTGCCCTCCTCGGTCTCCCAAAGATTACAGGCTTGAGCCACTGTGCCTGGCCTCTAAATAGTAATATTTAAACACACAAGGATAATAGTATGGCTCTCTATTATTCCCTTCAGGGATAAATATTGCTAGGGAGAAGACTGACTTTCTTTTCCAATATTATAATTATATTAAATACTGGATTGCTCCTTTTTATAACACAGAACTGAAAGGTTGTAATTTGAATAATAGGTGTAAGAATTCATAATGTTGAAATTTCATCAGTCACTTCCCTTCCCAACTTAAAATTATTTATCTATAGCTAATTATCAGATTTATGGATATCTTTTCTCTGGAAAAGTCATTTTTATTAGCCCAGTTGAATAGAGTACATTTTAGTGTAAGCCTCATGAATTGCAGTGAATAATGATTCCTTCCTATTCTGGGAAATGCCTCATAAGCAAGTAGATGCTGAGTCATGGTGACACGGTTTCTGTAAACACAGACCATGCAATATTTTGAGAATATTGTTCCAAAGGTAAAAATCCCGGAGTGAGGCTTGATTCACATAGCTGAGCCTGAATGTTGTACCACTGAGCTTGACTTTCCACTTAATTTTACATAGTCAAAATTATCAGAGAAGTTTCTCTTTTTGCACAATAGATGTAGTTCTAAACAGGTTCATGTAAATTTAAAATTAGCAAGTTAAATGACTTAACGCATCAATTTTGCCATTTAAATAAATAACCTTGAACTATTTTTAAAAGTTAATACAACTAAAATATCTATTTCATAGATTATTTATGATGCATATTTTCTTTAAGAAATTTATGCCTAAATTACATCTACTAATAATTACTAAAATTTCTCAAAGGATAAGAATACAAAGAAGTTCAGACTCAGTCCTTTCTGTTGAAAAAAGTAATAGTGACAACTAGCATTGGAGACTGCATTACAATGTACAAATTCCACGTGTATTACTTCACTTGACACTCTAGTCTACTCTGTAAGAGAATTAAGACAAGGACTTTATTATCCCTGTTTTACAGATACAGAAACAGAAACGCTAAGCATTTAGGTTATACGGTTACATCACTCAGCCAAGTGGCCGTAAAATGTGGTTCCAGAAGCAGTGCTTCCTTTTTCAAGTCCTATACAATTTCCATTCACCATATTGATTGCATTGTAAATGACAATGATAGCAAAGCTCTTTGGAAACAGACTCATTCATCTTTTTACTCTTCCTGTGAAGGAGGCAGGTGTCCCTGGATGAACCAGCTTACTTGTATTTAAAACACAGGTTCTAGATATTACAACTTTTTCACTTTGTTCAAACCCAATTAAACACGCTTACTATAAAAATTGGGTAGACACCTACTATTTTCTTTTTAAGACAAGGCCTTACTGTCACCCAGGCTGGAGTGCAGTAGTGCAATCATAGCTCACTACAGCCTCAAACTCTTGGGCTCTAGGAATCCTCCTGCCTCAGCCTCTCGAGTAGCTGAAATTACAGGTATGCACCACCACACCTGGCTATTTTTTTTATTTTTATTTTTATTTGCAGAAACAGGGTCTGGCTTTGCTGCCCAGGCTTGTCTCAAACTTCTGACTTCAAGCAATCCTCCTGCTTCGGCTTCCCAAAGTATTGGAATTATGGGTTTGAGCCACCATGCCTGGTCACACCTACTATTCTGAAAAGACAATTGCAACAAATAACCAACCAGTCATCAATAACTCAAGTCATTTACCAAACAGGAGATATGCCAGATGACATACATTATGAAGCATGAACGCTATCCACAGATTCAACACTATTTCTTTTTTTTTTGTTTTTGAGATAGAGTCTTGCTCTGTCATTCAAAAGATTCTCTTGCCTCAGCCTCCCTAGTAGCTGAGATTACAGGTGCACACCACCACGCCCAGCTAATTTTTGTATTTTAGTAGAGATGGGAGTTTCACCACATTGGCTGGGCTGGTCTTGACCTCCTGATCTCAAGTGATCTGCCTGTCTTGGCCTCCCAAAGTGCTGAGATTATAGGCATCAGTCACTGCTCACAGTATTTCTATCAAACTACCAACATCATCTTTCCACAGAATTAGAAAAAAAAAAATTCTAAAATTCATATGGAACCAAAAAATAGCCTGAATCGCTAAAGCAATCCTAAGCAAAAAGAAAAAAGGCTGAGGCATCACATTACCCAAGGTAACTGTAACCAAAACAACATGGAACTGATACAAAAATAGACACATAGACCAATAGAACAGAGTAGAGAACCTAGAAATAAAACTGCACACCTACAGCCATCTGTAACTCAAAGTTCACAAAAATAAGCATGGGGAAAGGACTCCCTATTCAAAGGTGCTGGGATCTCTGGCTAGCCATATGTAGAAGATTGAAGCTGGACCCCTATCTTTCACCATACACAAAAATTAACTCAAGATGGATTCGAGATTTAAATGTAAGACCTCAAACTATAAGAATCCTAGAAGAAAATCTAAGAAATACTGTTCTGGACGTCAACTTTGGAAAACAATTTACGACTAAGTCCTCAAAAGCAATGGCAACAAAAAGAAAAATTGACATGTAGGACCTAATTTAACTAAAGAGCTCTGTACAGCAAAATCAACTATCAGCAGAGTAAATAAGCAACCTACAGAATAGGAAAAAATATTTGTAATCTAGGCATCTAACAAAGGTCTAATATCCAGAATCCATAAGGAACTTAAATCAATAAGCAATAGTGAAATAAATAATCCCATTGAAAAGTGGGCAAAAGACATGAACAGACACTTCTCAAAAGAGAGCACACAAGTGGCCAACACACACATGAACAAACAACATCACCTATCATCAGAGAAATGCCAAGCAAAGCCACAATGAGATGATAATCTCACACCAGTCAGAATGGCTATTTACAAAAAGTCAAAAAATAAAAGATGCTACAGAGAAAAGGGAATGCTTATACACTGTTGGTGTAAATGTAAATTAGTTCACCTTTGTGGAAAGCAGTTTGGAGATTTCTCAGAGAACTTAAAACACAGCGACAATTTGACTCACAATCCTATTACTAGATATATACCCAAAGGAAAAATAATCATTCTACCCAAAAAGACTCATGCACTTGTATGTTCATTGCAGCACTTTCCACAATAGCAAAGATATGGAATTAACCTAGGTGCCCATTAGTGGTGGACTGGATAAAGAAAATATGGTATATATATACTATATAATGCTATGCAACCATAAGAAAGAACAAAAGCATGTCTTTTGCAGCAACAAAGGACATTATCCCCAGCCGGTTAACACAGGAATAGAAAACCAAATACTGCATGTTCTCACTTATAAGTGGGAGCTAAGCATTGAGAACTCATGGCCATAAAGATGGGGCCAATAACACTGGGAACTAATAGAGGGAGGAAGGCAAGGGCTGAAAAACTACCTATTGGATACTGTGCTCACCACCAGGGTGGCACCATCATTGCACCCCCAACCTCAGCATCATGCAATTTGCCCATGTAACAAACCTGCACGTGTACTCCCTCAATCTAAAATAAAAGTTGAAATTATAGGGAAAAAACACATTTATATCCTATGTCACAGATTGACTATTTGTCAACACAATTACCAGTCACATTTAGTGAGTTTACTGTTGGTGTTTTACAAAATTACAACTTTTTGTTTGGAAATCAGAGTAATGACATGACTTTACCTCCCAGGGTCCCTACATGGAATCCAGTTCACTTCAGGGTCTGGTATATCCTCCAGATAGGGGTAAATGCTCTCCCTGGTGAAGACCCAACCATAGATTCCATCTTCTGGGGTCACAATGATATGTGCACCCTGCTCAAAACAAATGGGGCAAAAAAGTTTCTCATGAATTCCAAATACTCTCTTACCAAACTGCAAGTCTCCTTTGTAAGTATAAAAGGGTAATACCTGCTTGGCTGCCAGCTTAACTGCTTTCTCCAAAACATCTATGTTCTTGTTCATCAGGAGCAAAGCTTCTTCTTTCGAAACAGGTGTTTCTGTTCTGTTTGGTAATATCACCGCATGCTCATATACTGCAGCAATAAAAGTGTCCAGCGCACCAACACTCAGGACAAGGAGGGCAGAAAGTGCCACACATTTTGGAAAATATGATCTACTCATAACTAGACTTCAGTGATCTTTGAAAAACAAACTCAGATTCTTATGTCTTGTTTCACTGGAAAAACTTTACATTAAATCCCTTCCGGCAATCAGCTCTTTATATTTTCTCACAAATACATTACACAACACCACAACACAGCACTGAAAACGGTGTTGTTCAAGAAAACACAGTCAGGACATGATTGGATTGACTCAAGCGTATAGTGCAGTTGTTGACATTGTTCAGAGGTCAACCGGACACTAAAAGATTGAGCCAACCAGATGAATTCACCCCAGTCCAAAACACACTGGCAGTTGAAGTCTTTTCTTTGAATAAAAACATTTTCCTTCCTAAACCAATATCCTATTCATAGGGCCTATGCTGGACTGTTCCAGAAGGTAGTCATCATAGCAACAATTTATTGAGTACTCTACTTACACATTTGTATGGACATTTCTATTGATAAAGCCCTTGTTCTCCATCTGTCTAAGCTCTAGCTCCCCCTAGAGTCCTCCCAAATCCACCCCAGTCCTAAGAGATATTTCTGAACTCCTAGAGCATTTTTTTTCTGTGCGGTGGAATGTCTCTCACTCCTTGCTGTTGTCTTGGCCTTTAATTTAAACATAATACCAATACTTACTGTTGTATATGCATATTTTGTCTTCTTATAGAGATTAAAAAGAAACTTGATGTTTTCTTTCAGAATATCAATGTCCAATAAACATCTAGAGATGATGTTTCCCAGGGTATGGCCCCTGGAGGGTGAGGGAAATGTCCTGCTCACTGTTGAACCTCATCACCCTAGCACATGTGTGACAGATGGTGAAAGCTCAATATATGAATGAATGTTGAATGAGGAATCCACCACCTGATGGGCCAGTCTATTCCACATTTGAACATTGTCAATTTTGAGAACACTCTTTCTTGTAATTGAGATGCAATTTGCTTCACCTGTCTTCTGCAGTTTAAACCTGCTTCCATATGAACACTAATCAATAATTCAAAAAGCGTTAAGTTCTCTCTTAATTCTTTTATTTTTAAAACATATCATCCTAATAAGTCCCTTAAGGGCAGGGTGCTGCTCCTATAGAAATTAATACTGTGCTAAGCTTTGTAAATATTTTTTGATTAAACTCAATTCCCTCATCTAATTTTGGATTGAATCTCCTTGTTTAAATATGAGTTAATTTAAAATGTAGATTTTTTTTAAGGTTTAAATCTCTGATTCTAGAGCCATTAACACTGCTTCTCCCTCTTGAGAGTCTTTCTAATCCTCGTTTGATATAAGGAAACTTGTAAGTTATGGAGATTTGTGTCTATTTTGGGTTTGATTTGGTTCAATAATTCAAAGTCCCCTGGCTTCAATAAACTTTTCCATTATCAAAATATTTCTTCTCCCAGGTACCCAGGGTGTTTCCATATGTCCTTATGCCCTGACATCATTTTAGCACCTAAGGACATATGAACATAAATTCAGCCCTAAATTCTGAATTTATGTCTGACATAAATTGTTTTCATCAGACATCAAACATAAATTCTTTTCAGAGAAAATATCTGAGGAGAAGAGAGAAACTGTGTAAGACAGATGGACTGATCTGAGACGAGAAGAAAATGATTTTCCTATTTCAAGTTGAAATTCTAACTCTTTTCTTGGTTCACCTGACTTTTGGAATAGAATCAAAAGGAAACATATGGGAATTCCCCATCATTCCCCCAGCCCCTAGTTCCAGGAAATGTACCAGCATTTTATTATGTTGAAATCAATAGAAACTTGAATTAAAGAGTTTATTACCAAATGTTGTTAGTAATGCCTTTGCTTCATAGGTGCATAAGGATTCAGGCTTGCCGGTTCAAGTTATTTGAAACACTGTATTGGTACATCATCCTTATGACAGTTTACTATTATTGTAGGATTAAGAAGTTTAGAGTCAGAAGTTTTGTATTACAATAAATAGGATTCTTTTAAATATGTAAGGGTCACAGTTTAAAGGAGAGAAGAGGTGCTGGAATAAAATCTCTAAGTTTATTGACTTTCCCTAAATCTTTATTTCTAATATCCATTATAAAATCTCTTCTCCATTCTCCTTATCAATATCCTGACCCCATGAGCAAAAATTCCTCTTTCAGACACTTCATCAGCCTCTCTGATCCCACTCCTCCCACCCCAGCCCTCGACACTGTAATCCATTAGAGTTCCCTTGACCATTGCTTTCATTAATTAAGATATTTTCCATGCATATATCCAATCAAACCAGACAGTCAGAGCCTTCTTTCTCTTGGTCCCATTTTATATTTTGTGTTCTCAGCTAAAACTACTCTTCTTATTATAACACAATCACTGTTGCTCTGATCCTGGAATGATTCTGACGAAATCCTACCTTTTGAACTAAAATCCATTGCCTCTCCAGTCTTGTTGCTATTCCCTTCTCTAAACTCTTAATGTACTTATGGACAGTAGCCACATTGTTGTTCATTGACTTTCAATCCCTTACTCTACCTCTCCTCTGCCCCCAGATTTTTTTCTACTTCATTCCCTCAACTGTCTCCTACAAAATGATAACCACTGTGTCTCTATCTTTAGCTCAGACTTCCGTGTGAACATCAGGCCTATTTAACTCAGAAGAGACCTTCCACAAGCTCCCACCAAGTACCAAACCATCTGCCAGCCATCTGTACCTATAAACTCTGCCCCTCCCCTCCTTACTCTAAGTGACTGCTCTTGACCCTATTTAAGTCCAGCCCCTATCCTTGAACACTGGAGCCCAAGGACATTGCTCCAGAAGTTCTTTCCTCTGTTTGTGTGTTCATTTGTTTGTTTGTTTTGTGAGACGGGGTCTCACTGTCACACAGGCTGGAGTGCAGTAGGTCAATCTTGGCTCACTGCAACCTCTAACTCCCAGGTTCAAAACATTCTCCTGCCTCAGCCTCCTAAGTAACTGGGATACAGGCACCTGTCCCCAAACCTGGCTAATTTTTGTACTTTTAGTAGAGACAGGGTTTCGCCATGTTGGCCAGGCTGGTCTCAAATTCCTGATCTCAAGTGATCCTCCCGCCTCAGCCTCCCAAAGGGCCAAGATTACAAGTGTGAGCCACTGGTCACATTTGTTTTTTAAATAAGTGTTTTGTAAGTAAACTCCCCTAGGCTTTGATGTTTCCAAGTCCCCTAAGCAGGCTCTTTCCTCAGGTCTAGTGTAGCCTTCCTCCTCTTTTTCTCCACATGAGACAAAAGCCATACATTGTCCTCTATGGAGCTACTGCTCCCACTTCGTTTTTTGAGGTTATTACGCCCAAGACTGGCAGAAGAGTGATACCAAGCCTTCAAAGCACCACTCCTACCCGGAAGAAAAGCACACAGGGCCTTTGCATTGGAGGTTTTATGCAAGTCACTATGCAAAATTAGATAAGGGTAACAAAAATGAGGAAGTGCATTTGTCCAAGTGATAGCAATCCAACTCAAAAGAATTTTAGAAGAAAAAAATGACACTCCTTGGCTCACCAAACTGGAAAGTCTAATGGAGTACAGCTAGTGCTCGACTTACGACCACGATTGGGACCAGCAGACCGGTCGTAACACGATTTGGTCGTAAGTTGAGTAGGCTATATGTACAGTTGAAACAGTGCACGTGGAGATGGTAGTGCTGCCGGAAGCTGGTCCGCACTGTCGTATGCCCAGCTGGGCAACATTTGCGCTGCCAGACGCGGAGCAGTCGTGGCTAGCGATTGTGGTCGTAAAGTTGAATGGTCGTAAGTTGCATAGGTCGTAAATCGATCAATACCTGTACTAGTTTCACCTGGCTGGATCCAGATGCTAAAATGATCTCTTCAGAGCTCGCTGGCTCAGCTCTCCTTTCTCCTTATTCCTGGTCATGGTGCTTTTCAATTTGCAGTAAAGATGACTCCTGAAAGCTCCAGATTTACATGTTTCTTGTGCGTCTATTCACAGAAGAGAGTGCTTTTTTCCCAATTGTTAAATCAAAAGTCCTAGGGAGGATGCTCCCTGGCCTGGCTTCAGACATGTGCTCAGCCCCGTGTGAATCTCTGTGCCCAGTGGGTCCAGTCTGTGGTTGGCTAGGCCTAGGCAATGTATGCACACCCTGGAGCCAAGAGGGATGACTCCCAGCCAAACTATATGTATTACGTTCACTTTAAGAAAGAAGGGAGAGGCCAGGCATGGTGGCTCACTCCTGTAATCCCAGCACTTTTCGAGGCCAAGGTGGGAGTATCACTTGAGGTCAGAAGTTCAAGACCAGCCTGGCTAACATGGTAAAACCCTGTCTCTACTAAAAACACAAAAATTACAAAAATTAACCAGGCGTGGTGGCATGCACCTGTAATCCCAGCTACCTAGGGGGCTGAGGCAGGAGAATTGCTTGAACTGGGGAGGCAGAGGTTGCAGTGAGCAGAGATCGTGCCACAGCCTGGGCGACAGAGGGACACTGTTCAGGAACTCCATAGAATAAGAAATATAAACCATGAATATGTACTCTTAATTTCTATTCTTCAACTTAATGTTTTATAGTACCTCAGATTTTTGAATTCAGAGTTTGTACACTTAGGAAATTATAGTAAGAGTAGATTAGAGAAGATTTGCTTGTTTTTCTTTTGAAGCCATGTGAAGGTTTATTCCCCTGTGCATTACTTTTCATCACTAAAAAGCTCCATGGGGACTAAAAGAATAAAAGTGTCATAGCCAGCCTGGATGGTTCACGCCTGTAATCCCCGCACTTTGGGAGGCCAAGGCAGGCGGATCACGAGGTCAAAAGATCAAGACCATCCTGGCCAACATGGTGAAACCCTGTCACTACTAAAATTACAAAAATCAGTTGGGCGTGGTGACTTTTGCCTGTATCCCAGCTACTCAGGAGGCTGAGGCAGGAGAATCGCTTGAGCTGGGAAGGTGGAGGTTGCAGTGAGCTGAGATCACACCACTGCACTCCAGCCTGGTGACAGAGTGAGACTCCAACCCCCCCCCCCGAAAAAGAATAAAAGTGTCACGAGCTACATGATGGATCTTTTCTTTTAATGTTGCAGATGATTTCAGTTTGGCTAGTGAAGGCTAACTAGCTCAGCCTTAGTTTCATTTTATGAGAGTTGACAACTAAAAACTAAACAAAGAAGTTACCAGTAAACCTAGTTCCCAACACAAGCAAAAAAC